AGACTGAGACCCTCCCACATGTTGGGTCACAGCGGAGTGTGTTGTTTGCACCTCCCAGAGGTGCCTTTCGTTCCTCGACAACTCAGAGTGACCCTACACGGCAGACTCAAACTGCCCCCGTGGGTTTCTGAGGCTGGAAACTTTTATGACAGAAGGCAGTCGCATCTTCCTCCTGAGCAGCTGCTGGTGGGTTTGAAGTACTGGACTTGCGATCAGCAGCCCGTCATGCCACGAGGCCTCACTGCTCGAGCTGCTGAGATGAACTTGGAAAGTCTGCGGGTATTCGTTGAACGAGCCCCAAGAGACCCATCGCCGGAGTCGGCATGGGAGTTAATAGTAGAACCCTTGTTAAAATTATGTTTATAGACACGAGGGGAGAGAGGTGTTCAAGATCCTTAGAGGCACTGGTGGGGCTCGAACGGGAGGTTGACTGGGGTGTTTCTTGGTGAAACAGTAGGAGACAGAATCCTATGTGCTTGTTGGGAGATGAGCCTGGGCTTGTCACAGGAAAAACCCCACCCCACCCAGAGGTGTCCCAGATGGAAAACAGCAGCTCAGGAAGTCAAATGATTTCTCTGTCATCGTGAGGCAATACGTTCTGAGTGCAGCCCCTCTCCTCTCCACCCACAGATGTAATTAGAGGGTGGACAGGTGTTGATTTGACAGAAGGGAGGATAACATACTACAAGATGGAGACGGGAGCAAAAAAGCAGAGGGAGGGACAAGCCACTGGGAGATTTGGTACGTTGTTCAAAGCAAAAAGCGAGGATCCGATATAGAACCCCCCTACATAATTCATCAGGAAAGTTTGGAGTGAAATAAAGAGTAACAATCAATCTTTAAAATAATTCATAACATGGATGAGCCTGAAGGATATTACGCGGAGTGAAATACATCAGTTACAAAGGGCTAAATATTGCATCAGAGCATTTGTGTGAAAAGCCAAGAATCAGTTTCCACGCTAACAAAAGCCTTGTTTGGTAGTTATTAGGGTGGGGGAAGCAAATGGTTGGCTAGAGGGCCCGTATGCTAAATTGGGTGGAAGGCAGTAATGAGAGAACTAGGAGGCCAGTAAAATGGAAACAACAATCAATGGCCTGTTCAAACTATCATGTTGAGATGACCTTTGAACCTTGACAGAAGTGGTTTCTGAAAGTCACCTTTAAGCTATAGCTTTGCAAAGCTTTGCAATCCTTCCCCACCCCCACCCCTCAACACGACACACCAGAAACTCGCAAGGACACACGGGAAGCTCTGTCTCAGGGTCAGCGTGCCGCCGCTTCAGTTGGTCTTCCAGACAAGTGGTCATAGGGGACCCTGCATGACCACCGATGGTTGTATCAGTCCTATTTCAGAGCGATACAATGGAATATAAAAATCTGTGAAAGGCCTTGCTTCTGTGGCTAGGTTTGATTCTCTAGTCTAAAATGTCGGCGCCCCGGCAGTGCAGAAGCTAGGCGCTCTGTCATTAAAGGAAAGGTCCTGGGTTTGAACTCACCAGTGGCTGGTGGGGAGAAGGACGTGATGGCCAACTTCCGTAAAGATTGACAGGCGTGGCAACTCAGGGAGGCCAGTCTGCTTTGTCCTATCAGATTGCTGTGACTCCAAATGCAATAGATGGCAGTGTCTCTTTTGGCTTCTTAAACCCTGATAGCTACCCATTTGCCTACCCGAAGTATTGCATATTCGCGGGATCACACACTGTGTCTCCTTAGTGTCTGATTCACTCCACTCTGTATAATGCTTTCAGGGTTTATCCAAGTCCTCCTTTCAGGAGGACTCCGTTTCTCCTTATGGCTGGCAATCCTGGTAGCGTAACGATTAAGTGCTTGAAAAGCCAGCACGTGGCATTCACCAGCTGCTCTACATAGAAGAATGATGTAGCAGTTGACCTTCAATCAAGATTACAGCCTTGGAAACCCAGTGGGGGCCCTTCTATTCTGGCCTATGGGATTGCTATAAAAGTCCCTCCCCAGCAATGGGCTTTTTGGAGGGGGGGGTGCACATTTCCTAGGAAATGTTATCTTGATTTGAGATGGTGTATTAGATCAACTTTAATCCATCTCTATGAGGACCACAGCCTCTTCCCCCCTCCAGGGTTCTCGCTCATGGAAGCAGTTACCTCTCTCATCTTCTCAATTCCCAAGGTGAAAATGTAGGAGATGACGATCCACTCCTGGGGAGAAGGCCAGCGCTCCATCTTCACCAGCACGATGTAGTTGAAGAGCATCAGGTATCCGATGTAGGCCAGCTGAGAGGAAACACAACAGGGAGCTTTGGCTGGTACGACCTAGGGGCCTTGCCCTTGCACAAGGTCATTGCCCAGCAGAATACCAACACAAGATCAGCAAGCTGGGCATAGAATTCATGACAAAATACATTTGAATGCTCTTAGCTATCAAAGGAATCAACATCAACGCTCATGTTGAACTAATGCACTACGGAATCTTTCTTGACTCTTGCGGCTTCCTGCTAGCTTAGCGCTTGGCTTATACCTGAGTGACCAGGTGCGTCACTTTCTTTGGCGTTAACCCATCATTAGTGTTTTCTCTGCTAGGCAGGGACTTCTTCCATCAGAGGCTGTTTGTGCCTGTGCATGGACAATTGCAGTTCTTGGAATAGATGTTTGCAGAGCACATACCAGGCACACTGAGTGTCCATGAGAGAAAAGAAAAACAGACCGGTAAATTGGTCAAGCCAACATAGACATAGTCTAGATGTTATTTTGAAGCCCCATTTTAATTGCCTGCTAAGCGATGACTTCTGTTTTCTCCTCCATTAAAGGGTTTGGCTTGTCCATGCCCTGGGAAGGTTTTACCTGCTTTCCATTGCACCAACTTTGTTGCCCCACCCAATTTGGAATAGTCCCTTCTGGTGGCTCTTGCTTCAAAACAATGCAAGCGAAAGTAACTCAGGTGCTAGAAAGGAACGGGTAGGCATGGCTTGTGGTAGATTGGATTTTAACACCAGGAGGCTAAGCTTCCATGTGCAGGGCTGACTTGCTAGATGTCCTGGGAACAAATCCTCAGACTTCAGGCTTGATAAAAAGCCAGGGGAAGATTCAAGTAAATCTAGAGGAGTGGAGTGGAGGAGGTTTTTCCATAACTGGCTAAAACCTACCCTTGGGGCTGTAGCATAGAAACTACGGAAGATATCAAGTTGACGAAGGCACTGCTCTGGCCATAGAGGCTGAGTAGGCAGTTACGAATGAGTTTATTAAAATCTTCTCTACTCTTGGGAACCAGCCTGGCAAGGGGTAGGGCAGAATGTGGGCAGAAGATTGAAACCTCTGGGACGTTTGGAAATGCAGCGTGACTCAGTGCGACATAGGAGATTAGAAAGTGGGGAAGTTTCTGCCTGGATGGGCGATCCTTAAAGGAAGCTGGCAGGCCCCAGATGTCAATGCCCGGGGAAGATCTTATCTCTTTTCCATTGCTCCAACCTTCCTGCCCTATTGGAGTTGGAAGAGTTCCTTCTGGTTGATGCTTCTTTCAAACAAAACAAGACCGAGCAGTTTATAGAATGGGAGGGGTGTTAGATGATGTCAGAGAAATCCGGCTTTCTCTAGGAAGCACACTTCTCCTTCCGCCCTCCTTTCCTGTCTTCCTTTCCAAAGAGTAAATCCTTAATATAAATCACAGAGACAAGGGTACGTTGAAAAATATGGGTACACAACGATAGAAACCTGTCTTAACAAAAATACCCCAAAGTGATGCTATTGCTTCTCGACTTATCCTCCATATGTCCATCCACTCCTAAAGGCCGCATTTCCATCTCTCCCACCCTTGCCGGGGGAACTGTGTGCTCTTTGAAGTCCAGTCCTTGGACTACGGCAGCCCAGCAGATGTTTGCAGAGCGCACACCAGGCACACTGAGTGTCCATGAGAGGAAAAAAACAAATTGGCATCCTCAAAGAACTCAGACCATGTGCTTCATACATGTGCTTTAAGCTTTGGGAACAACCACCGCGAAAGCCCGAAGGTGAAAGAACAGGGCATTATGGGGGTGGGGGGTGGGGACTGGCCATGGAAACCTTCCCAGCCCAGCCCTGGCTACCTGTGAAGAAGGAGTCTCCGTATTGCTTGGAAACTAATTTTTTTTTCTTGGAACAATTTTTCTGACTTTTTGTCCCCAGTGAAAATTTCCATTTTCTTAAAACTTCTTCCTAATAAGCCTCTGTGCACCTCCTGCAGCCTTTGAGAAAAATGTATCAAAACCCCCCTGTGGAATTCAACCAACACTCATTGTGACCCCTGGCCTGGCCTCTCCGCATTGAGTTTCACTGACTCAGCAGCTCCCCTCGGAAGCCACTCTTTGGACTGGACTTTTGTTCTTGAGGGCACCCTAAATAGAGACTCAGACAAGTGTGTTACTAAGAGTACTTGCCTGCAGCGTCTTCTGATGACGGAGACATGGTACGGCATGTCTAGTTTGTAATAAACCCATAGATGAGACAGAACACCCCCCCATAGCAATACTTTTTGACTTACCCTCATATTTCCCAAGACTTGGACATATTTGCAGATAAGACTGCAAATCATTTCTTCATCTATCAGAGTTAGACAGCATGTTTAATATGGGCGCAGGCCACATAGGAAATGCCACATGCATATGTATAGCTACACTGCGTGCTTTGACATGCAGCGTGTAGAATGTCAAAGTTTTGAACAGAAACATAACCTTCTTTTTATTGGAGTCAGTGGGACTCCTGCAAGAGTTCATATTTCGTTTGCTGATATGTCCTTCCTTGTGACACTCACTCTACCACACAAAGGACACGTGTTTGTGCTTGCATTGGTCTGAGAGGGGAAGCAAGGAGACGGAGCCTTATCTTGCTTAATCTCAGCTGGGAGCACGCGGACAAGGTCATTCCGATCCCCCCACCCCCCAATGGGCAACATCTGCAGATGACTGCCAAAGCGTACCAATACTGATTTATGGGGTCACAGATGAATTTAGCAAGTAGGAAGCTTTTCAAATATGGAATGTATACGTAACTAGGATCAGCGATACTATTATCATTGGCCTCTCCTAGATAAAGAAAGTGGGGGACAAAGAGGTTAAGTCACTTGCTGGGGGGTCACCTAGCAGTTAAGAGGCCCAAAGGCCATGCTTCTGATGGTGCAGCAGTCATTTTCTGCAAGATGAAAAATAATGCACGCCGCTATACATTTTATAAATAGAAGTTACTTTGCATGCTCTGTTGTGTGTGTGTGTGTGTGTGTGTGTGTGTTAACATTGTTGCTGTTCCGTGGTATTGGGTTAGTTCTGCCGCATAGTCATCCTGTGTTCAACAGAACAGAAGAGGCATTCTGCTGTCCTAACAATTATTGCTATGTCTGAGCTCAGTGTCTTCCTCTTTGTCGCTAAATCTCTACCAAGCACGGTATCCCTCACCATGGCCTGGTCCCTCATGGTCCTTCCTGACATGCCCAGGGTGTGTGAGCAAAAGTCTCAGGATCTTCCCCTCTGAGGAACAGCCCGACTGTACTTCTAACACAGAATGGCTACATTGGAAGTTTTAGTTCACTAAGGCAATTGAATGTCTCTATACTTTAAGAATATCCTATCCTCTGTTAAGACCATGCTTCAACTTAGTGATTTTCCACAGTTGTCATAGCTGGAGGTGGGGAGTGCTGCCGGCACTTAGTAGGTGCTGCCAACACATTGAAATGCACAGGTGTGGTGAACGGAACTCTCTTTCTGTGGTTCTTCTCCCCATGTCTCTGAAACTGTCATCAAATGACTGGATGGAACCGTGAAAGTAGGGTGTGTGAAACCCTAACGGAGGGGATCGGTCAGTTTAGCATCCAGGAGGAAAGTTCACTTTGGCGACTAGTGGAATACACTTGAGATCGCTCTCTGCTGAAAGACTGGAGGCCAAGACAAGAAACCCCAGATCACGAATGAAGCAAAGGAGTCATGCCAAGACCGGAAGCCAGCAAGGAGACTAGGAAACAGTGAGGTGGAGTGGCAGGTGGACATCGTGGCCCACAGAGGCAGAGACTAAGACGAGAGAGAGACTGGGCTGCTGGCTAAGAAGAGGTGTATTGCTATGAACCCATGCCTGTCGTTACTGCTTACTGATCATGACTGGGGCTAACTTGTTAACTTCCTACTGTATGCGTGAGTTTTGTCTGTGAGTTCTGGGTGGTGATTGCATGAGCCCACCGGGAACGTAGAAGGTTCTGGGAGGAGCAGTTGGTGTCAGCATAAGGGCAAGAAGGACAGAAGGAGGAAGCGTGTCTGACCTCTGCCTTATGGCCTTGGGCTTGTGTGAAGTTGGATTCCCTTCTCTGTTGTGTAGCCAGAGGAGGGCAGATGCAGCCTCCATGAAGTTTATACAGCAGGACAGCCCCGCCTCCGACAAAGAATTATTCTGCCCCAAATGGCAATAGTGTGGAGGTCGAGAAACCCGCTCTCAGCCCAGTGATGAGTGCCAGCGCCCAGGAACACAGAAAAAGCACTTCATCTGGTCATTTGAGACAGCCTGGCCTCAGACTCAGATTACCATGTCGCTAACCCAAGTAACTGCTGTGTAAGCCAGTTGCAAAGATGGCTAACAGCACAACGCACTATTCATCGTCTGGCACCACTTCCCTATGGCTGGAGAGAATCAGGGAAGACCTGGGCCTTAGCTCACCCAGAACTTAACATATCATTGGGAAGAAGACCTGGAAAATCAATAGCTGAGTCATTTCTACCCTAGCAGCGGGTTATTTCAGTATCAACTCAGCGGTTTGTAGGCAGGCAATTTTTGCAGGGCATGATCCCTGAACAATTTTGGGGGTGGGTGGAGGGTGTTTTGCGCAATTGTTCCTGTTTGGTTTGGATGTTGCTTAATAGTGGGAGAGGAGGAAAGTTGGTCTGAAGACCCTTCTAGATTGGGAGTAGCTGTTAGTTGCCCAGCAAGATGGTTTCAACTCAGGGCGACCCCACGTGTGCAGAGTCGAACTACCTCCACGGGGTTTCCAAGGCTGTTTCCCAGGAGCCCGGTGGCATAGTGCTTACGCACTGGGCTGAGACCTGCATGGTCAGCCGTTCCACAGCACCAGCAGCTCCGCAGGAGAAAGACTGGGCTATCTACTCCAGCAAACAATGATCATCTCAGAAACCATACTGGACCCCACGAAGCAGAGCACCAGATCTTTCAAGATCCCTCTAAACCCGCTGCCCTTGAGTCAAAACCTACTCATAGGAACCCTACCCAGAGTTTCTTGACTAACCTTGCCCTGCGTGCCCGGAGTCTCATCTTTCTCCCTCTGAATGGCTGGGGGGTTTGAACCACTGACTCTGCTCAATGTTTATTGCGGAGTGCGATACTGTCACCGAGTCAGGACTCTAGGGGGGTTCAAATCATTGGCCTATCAGCTAGTAGTTGGGTGCTTAAATAGTTGTGCCACCCAGATCGGGAGTAGGTAGACACATGTGCTACCTTATCTCTAGTGGCGCTACTTCTAAGCATCTCTTCAACCGCTCCCCAGAATTTTTCTATAAGATCAGGTTGCGCATCTCAAATGGGCAGTTCTGGTCTACTACGGTTCATCCACGTAGAGTATGGAAGCACTTTGTAAATGGACGTCTATTTTCCCGTGAGACTAGATGCCCCTGTTTCTCATCTCACTTCTATTTCTGTTAGTTCTTACTGTGACTGTTAGTTCTTTCCTTTATTTTTCTATTCCTTTAATTTCTGGGTGAGGAGAAGAAATGTAACCTATGGAAGTTGCCTCCTGAATTCCACGAACATTGCAAAGCTACTGGAAATGCAAGGCTGTGGAGCCGTCTTTGCACACGCATGGTGCCTCTTTTCAGACTCACAGAGGAAACCACCCTGGTGCATAAGCAATGCATGTTGGTCTACGGGGACCATCCAAAAGAAATGAGAAAGGAAAAAGGGCTTACAGTGTAGAACCAGAACTTCACGATGGGAGCATTGTAGAATTCGTAGATTTTTCTGCCCAGAGGGATTAACCGGTGTCTGCTCTGAACTTCCTCTTCATCCTTCTTCCTCGAGGACTCCCCATTGCTGCGTCCCAGCATGGCCTACAGTGGAAGACAATGGATGCCGCCATCATGAGGGGCCTCTGGGGAGCATGCAGTTCACTGAGCCCCTTTGACAGATGAGGAAAAGTTACCCATGGGACCTATGAGATTTGCCCAAGGCCCAGGAGAACACCTTCCCTACATGAACATTTGCATTTCACATGGATGTACAAATGCCCTATTCCTAGCACAGGAGGTCTTTGGAGCTATTCCTTGAACATTCTCTTCTCTCTCATTCTATGCCTTCTGAAGATAGAGATCCTCGCAGTTGTCCAGCTTCACAGAGGGAAGCAGCATGGAGCATGAGAGCATGATGCTTTAGGAATCTATCTTCCCTCCCCATCCACTCACCTCCCCACCCTTCCTGTAGTTAACGAGACAGGCAGAGCTGGCTTCAAATCATGGAATGTAGGGTAGCTATAAAAATCAATAAGCACGCGGTACTTAATACTGGCCACCAGCTGCTCTTGGGTTGACTGCCACTCAAGTGAACCTCACACGTATCAGAGTAAAACCGTGCTCTATGACGTTTTTTTAAGGACGGGATTTTTTGGAAGTAGATGGTAAGACCTTTCTTTCACGTTGCCTCTGGGTGGAATTGAAACTTGAGCACATTTGTTAGCTGTCAACTATGTTAATCACCCGAATTACCTGTGGATTTATAGTCTCACGGAGTTTCGATGAGTTTGAATCATCTCAATGGCAGTGGGTTGTATATTTGCTGCACACTTATGTCACAGAGACTGTAAATCTTTATAGGAGTGGACAGCCTCATCTCTCTTCTATGGAATGCTAGCCCAACCCATAATTCATTATGCCACCAGAGTGCCTCTCAGTAAATGCTAGCTGTCTAATATTTACATGGGAACCCTGGTGGTGCAGTGGTTATGCATTAAGCTGCAGCCTGCGTGGTTGACAGTTCAAAACCACTACCAGTTCCGTGGGAGAAGGACTGGGCTTTCGACGCCCAGGAATAGTTACAGACTGGGAAATCCACAGGGGTCACTACGAGTCAGCAATGAGTTTGTTTGTTTGGTTAATATTGAAGTAACTTTGGGCTGAAATTAACTTGTTGAGATTTCTCTCTCTCTCTGTCTCTTTGTCACACACACACACACACACACAACATTATTAGGCATCTATTGCAGCATGATGAGCTCTGGGGATTCAGTGGTTACACATTGCTTACCACAAGGTCAGCAGTTTGAAACCACCAGTTGCTCTGAAGGAGAAAGAGGGGGCTCTCTACTCCCGCACAGAGTGACAGTCTTGGAAACTCTCAAAGGGGCAGTTCTACCCTGTCCTATGGAGTCACTTTGAGTTGGCAATAACTCACTGGCAGCGAGTTGGGTGCCTTGGTTTTATAGCAGCATCCTTCTTTGACTTTATTTCTACAATATTGCTATAGGACACGATTAGTGACACTGGCGCATGGGAACTGAGATTCTCATTAAACGTGGAGACAGGATACGGTCTTGTCACTGCTCAGAGACTCACAGGGGTTTGGGAGAAGAAAAGTCACTGGGAATGTGAGTGCCGAGCCAGGAGATCTAAGTATAGAAACCATGTGTCGTGAAGCTGAGAACACAGGCAGGTACCAGATAATTCTGGTTTCCACAACCCTTATCTAAACTATCCAAATGTTAGCTCCAACTACTGGGATCGTGGTCTCCAATGTTCACATCACTCGAATAGATAACACTCATTCACTAACGATTTCCTGTAATCAGTTGGATTCGGGGAGAAGGTAATCCCCATCGCTTTATGGACTTTCTGAATAGAAATGTACCTGGAGTTAATGAGCAGGTAGGAGTCTGTCCTAGGGCTATCTGTGAATTGATTCTCATCAGCGAGCAGAATCCATTTTCATGAGGGATAGAACGGACTGGGCAGCTTTCGGCTTCTGGAACTACTGATTATGGGTCTCGAGAAACCGGAGCTGACATAACCGTCCTTCCACAAGGTGCATAATTATCCCACTGCTGATCTGCTTATTTGCATGCTTCATGATACAGTGCCATTTGGGAACATGTGAAATGGGAATAAAGGCAGTGGTTCTCAACCTGTGGGTCATGACCCCTTTGGGGGTCAAATGACCCTTTCACAGGGGTCGCCTGATTCATAACAGTAGCAAAGTTACAGTGATGAAGTAGCAATGAAAAATAATGTTATGGTTGAGGGGTCACCGCAACATGAGGCACTGCATTAAAGGGTCCCAGCATTAGGAAGGTTGAGAACCACTGTAGAGTGGCATTTGGGGGTAACCTCTGGGCATAGTAGCTTTTCCAACAGAGCTACAGTGATACATTGAGTTGGTAGGCATGCCCGTTGCTTTCTTAGCAGAAGGCAAGGTGGAACCACTTATCTGGCAAAGGAGGCCAAACAGAACCAAACCCAGAACCCAAACAACAACTTTTCTTGCCTTTATCCAGATCCATTCCAGTGTGCATTCCTTTCGTAGGTTTAAGGAATACAGTTTATAGATCTTTCAGGGATGCTACCCCAAATTGCTTAATGGACTGATATTGTCCATTTCTTTCCCCAGTAGTCAAATGCTTCCTCCGACATTCCTTATGGCCGGCTTTAACAGGGTCAACAATAGACAAACACACAGTCTGGATTTGAGGGTCTTAGTAGGCTGGACCCATATGTCAAGCCTGAGAAAGAGCCTTTCAGGTAACCTAAGTGAGTAAGACGGGAGCGCTGGTGTTGTAGACAAAAGCCTGGCTGCTAACTTCAAGGTCAGCAGTTCAAAACCACCAGCCATTCCATTGGAGAAAGACTAGGCTTTCCACTCCTATAGAGTCACAGTGTCAGAAACCCACAGGGGCATTTCTAGCCTGCCCTAGGGGGTCACTATGAGTCAGAATCAACCCGATGGCAGGGAGTTTGGGTTTTGGATATTACTTAGAAGTAAATCCTGGTGGCACCACTGGTGAAGCCAGTTAGTTACCTAAGAGAGCTACTCAGTGGAGCAATGGTTAAGTGCTCACCTGCTAACGTCGAGGTCAGTGGTTTGAAACCACTAGCTGTCTTCTGTAACGCTGACAGCATTAAAAACCCTACCTATCAGTTCTCCTTTGTTCTATAGTCACTATGAGTCGGCATCTTCTGGATGGCAATGAGTTTAAGGCATTAAGGATTCAAAGGAACCACCTGCTATAGGTATACATGCTCCTGTACTTGGGGCTGGGACTGCGCCTACCAAGACATCTGTAGAATCAGCCAAAGCAAAGTCACTGCCATTGAGTACATCCTGATTTGCAGCAACCCCATGGACAGAAAAGAATTGCCCTTGTAGGTTTTTAAGGCTGCAAATATTTATTGGAGGAGAAAGCCTCATCTTTCTCCCATGGATTATCTGGTGGGTTCGAACTGCTGACCTCATGGTTAACATTCCAGCAGGTAACCTGCTAAGCTACCAGGGCTCCTCTAAAAAAATGCCCTGCTATGGTTGGATCCACCTTGACTCATAGCAACCATATGTAGGATTTCTGAGGCTCTAAATCTTTACAGGAGAAGACAGCCTCATTGTTCTCCCTTGGAGTAAGTGGTGGGTTTGAACCTGCCAGCCTTACAGACAGCAGTCTAATGTCCAACTCCCAGTAACACCAAGACTCCTTTAGATTGAAATACTGTTTGTCTGGAGGAAAAAGAGTTCACAGGGAAGTCCCACTAGGATAGTACTTGAGGAGGAAAGGGCGACCAGAAACTTCATGGGACAATGGAATTAAAGGACAAAGGAGTTTTTCTACAAACTTTTGAAGCCCCTTCTTTATGTAAAACCCTTACATAAGGGCCAGAGCAAAACCCATTTTTGTGTTTTGGCCTTGTGGTTCCTTCTGGGTTGTCATAGCAACAACCCCTGGCCAGGGTTGGGTGGTAATCTCAGGAAGGCCCCAAGAAACTGGGGCTTGCTCTCCCATGCTCGCAAGCCGGTGGTTAGCGGTGCAGTATTTTTAGCCTTTGGAAACAACCCTGTGGCAGTCACACGGCTCCGGTGGGGGTTACTAGAAGCTGTCTCATGCCCAGCTGCCCCATTACCCCTGCCACACAAAGCACCCATGCTCTATAATCACACCAGGAGAGAGCCAATAAAAGCTTTCCATCCAAACCTCAAAATTCAATTAGTCCTGCATCTGGGAGCCTGACCCTCCAAAGACAGATAAAAGCCTCGCTTCTGATCATCAGAACCGTTCCAGCTGCAAGAAGCGGGCAGCTCCCGGATCCTAGAATCTCCCCCCTGTCTCCACGTGTGCTGCGCTGCCACATTGCCTGCTGGTTTATCACACGCACGACCACTGGGAACTGTAGGGTGCTTCTGCAGTCCAATTTTGGGGGGTCTTGCATCACTAAGGCTGGCTGCAGAGTTTCACATGGGCTGGAACTCTCTGGTCACGTTCCGTGTGCAGAGAGAGGCAGCGTTTCTAGTCCCCAGGTCTCCTGACTTAAATGAAAGTACCCAAGGAGCTCTTCTCCCTGGCGGGAGGCTGGCCAACAACTGTTGGACCTCAAGAGGTGTTCGATGTTCCATCAAGTGAATGGGGTGAGAGGACTAGGGGATGCCCCCTGCCCCCTTCCAGAGAGAAACACGGCACAGGGTTTTTCTTACGGTCAGTTCCATGTCTTCTTCTTCTTTCTCCTTCGTGGGCTTCTCTGGTTCTTCTGGCTCCTTCTCTTGGAGATGGATTTCCTGGGCCTGAGACATGTAGGGCATGTCGTCTTTATTCTTGAACTCCAAGCTGAGAATTGAAGGAGGAAGTAGAATTCCCAGAATTACCTAAAGTAATAATAATGATAATAATAATAATCACATTTAAAGGATTAAGATTAGTGTGGTTGCTTAGAGTCAGAGGGCCTGGGGGGAAGGAGGCAGGAAGGAAGGGTGTGTGTGTGTGTGTGTGTGTGTGTGTGTGTGTGCTTTGTGGCCCAGAGTGGAGACCTGGACATTTGAAAAATTAAACACATTTGAAGCCAAGGGTCTCTATTGTGCCCAGCTAGGAGGAGTTTTGCACAGTAGCCTAGTCTGTATTTGTGAGAAATCCAGCATTTGACCCACATTCATTTTGCCTAATTAACACCCACTTTGCAAGGATGGGAGCCGGGGAGGACATGAGGGAGGAGAGAGAGGTCAGGCATTTTAACCCAAGGCGCAAGGGGCAGAGAATTCAACATTACATTTGACCATGAGAGAGCATTTGGCAGCGCCTACGAAGTCAACCCCTACATATGTCCACCGGCATTTATTTGCTAATGTGTCAAGTGGGGCTGATGACTTGTCATCCGGTTATTGGCTTGAGAAAGAACAATGTCCTAAACTGACCTTGAGCGTGGAGGAAAGCATGGGGGTTCATTTCAGAACACGTCCCTGGCATGTGCTACACACACCACACACACACACACACACACACACACACACACACTGCATTCACCATGAGGATCCCTGCACAAATGCCCCAGGGCTGTGCCAGCATTTCTCTCCTGTATAAATGATGTGCTAGAACCTCCTTGTGACGTCACTAAATCTCCGGGAGGACATTCACATTCTTCCTTGATGGGGAGGGCCCGTGAGGATGATCCTCATGTAACGAGGCAGGGACAGCTTGTGCTCAAATGCTCCCAGGGGTTGGAGATCAACTGAGGGAAAAGAGTGACCCTGAAAGTGGGGTCCCTGGCAGGCCTGGGCAGGCTCAGGTGGCAAGCTGGCAGCCATCAGGGGACATGTCACCCAGGCCTCGTTGCTGAGGGCCTAGTTTTAGCTCCCTGTTTTTGCAGTCACTAGCAGTTGGGCTACAGGACACCTGTGGCACACTTTAAAGGCCTTTCTGTAGTTCCAGGCTAAGAGAAGGAACTGAGTTGGGGTGGGGAGGGCCAGGGGGTGAGTGGGGAGAGCTGATTCAGTCAGAGGGGCCTCAGAGCATTCTCCTGCCTGGAGGCCCTTTTACTTTGGATTGACCTCAGAGTCGTCCAGATCAAGCGGTGTTAAGTCACTTTGAGTCCAGCACACAATGGAACAGGGCCACGGTGGGGGAGGCACTGGCCATTAACTGCATATTCAGCAGCTCAAACTCGCCAGCTGCTTGTCTGGAGAAGGTTGAGGCTGCCTGTTCTCACCAAGATGTTCAGCCTCGAAGACCCGAGAGAACAATTCTACTCTGTCCTGGTGAATCTCTATGCTTCGGAATCAACTCAACGGCAGTGGGTTGTTTTGTTTGGTTTTTGCTTTACTTGTAACAAGAGTTCCTGGTTGGTGCAAATAGTAAAAGCACTTAGATGCTAACAGCAAGTTTGGAGGTTCAAGTCCACCCAGGAGGACATTGGACAGAAGGCCTGTGGATCTACTTCTGACCAACCAGCCCTCTGGGGCACAGTTTGGGGGCACAGGTGTTCTCTGACACACATGGGGTCACCATGCGCCAGAGTCAACTGGTTTGTAAAATGTCCTTTGAGGCTTCTTCCTCCTGATTTCTTCTTTCAGCCCGATTTTTTTATTTGGAAAAAGCTAGGGGAGAGAAGGCAAAAGCAAGAACTCCGTATCTGACTTCTTTCACAAGCAGTCAAGTCCCTTCCATGGTGCACTCAATGCCGGTTTACACAATTTACCGCGGATCTCTCCTGTTTCTGTTTTGTTTTAATGATTTCTCACAGACACAACTCTACACAGACACATTTTGGACTCCCGGCTAAGCATACTAGTCTTTGTCTTCTTTTACATCAATAAGGACAAATCATAATCACTTAGCAATGTTGGTACTTCTACATCTACCTGTCTGTCTGTCTATCTAGCTATCCATCTAGCGAAATCATTTTTTATTTCAGAGTTTTAGGTTTTTCCAATGCAGCTGATAGAAGCCAGTATTTCTTTACAGAAAGAGGCAAAGGAAGGCCAGTAGGGTCAAGCCGTCTTGGAGAAAAGATCGCACACGTAAGTGACTCCTTGTGTAAGTGGCTTGTGCCAGAAGTCAATGGTGTCTCCAATGTACCTATGCATTACTATCATCCTGGGTCTGATGAAAAATATGGATGTCCAAAGGTCGCGGGGAGGAGACGAGCCAGTCAGGGTGCAGTGTAGCAACGATCAATCATACAACTTTCCTCTAGTTCTTTAATGCTTCCTTCCCCCCACTAGCATGATCCCATCTTTACCTTACAAATCTGGCTAGACCTGAGGATGTACACTGGTACAGATAGGAACTGGAAACACAGGGAATCCAGGATGGATGATCCCTTCAGGACCAGAGGTGAGAGTGGTGATAGCAGAAGGGTGGAGGGAATGTGGGGTAGAAAGGCAGAACCGATCACAATGACCTACATATAATCCCCTCCCTGGGGGATGGACAGTATAAGACATGACAAAATAATAATTTATAAATTATTAAGGGGAGGGAGGGGGAAAATGAGCTGATACCAAGATCTCAAGTAGAAAGAAAATGACTTGAGAATGATGATGGTAACAAATATACAAATGTGCTCGACACGATGGATATGTGTAGGGATTGTGATAAGAGTTGTCCGAACCTCCAATAAGATGATTTATTAGAAAAAGAAAGATATGGATGTCCACCCCGTGGAGTGTTGTTGCTGATGTTGTTGCCCTGATTCCCGCTCAGAGCAATCCCTGGGCAGTAGAAAGAAACCCTGCCGGTCCTGTTCTACCCACCCTCACGGTCATTGCTTTGTTTGAACCCATTGTTCCAGTCACTGTGCCTGTTTGTCTAATTTGAGGTCTTCCTCTGACTCCCTGACTCTCTTTGAAGTGAATGTCCTACTCCAAGGACGAGTCCCTCTGGATACCATGTTCAAAGGATGTAAGAGCAAGTTTGGCCATTCCCCCTTCTAAGGAGCCCTCTGGCTGTACTTCTCCCCTGACTGTTCATTCCTTTGGCAGTGTGTGACAGAATCAGTATTCTTAACCAACACAATAACTCACAGGCGTCTGTTCTTTGATCTTCCGTATTCATTCATGCATATAAAATGTGGTAGTCCCCTAATCTGGTGTCAATTTAAGGATTAAGAGTGTAGGAGTGGAGTCTAGGCTGTCAACCTGGAGATAGCCAATGAGACTTCTGTGTGGGCCTGGCCTTCTCCTGGGAATTCTGGGGAATCTGGGACTTCCTCCTTGGAGGCAAGAAACACTTCTCTCTCTCTCTGCCACTCCCTGGGAGACATTGCAGAAGACAAGCCACATGGACGGAACCAGACCTCGGAAGCCAGAGAAGCCACAGAGAGACCCCGGCCAGCGCTGAGATGCTTACAACGCCACTGGACCCAAAGACTTTCTACCCACTGGCTTGTGGTCGTCCTGCATTCGGCTTCATTGCATGTTTCGTGAGTCTGAAGAGGACTTTATAGGTTGGTATAGGAGACATATGGGCTAATATCAGACTTATGGCCTTGGACTGGCCTGGCTTAGGATGTTTTCTCAATGTTCAATGCCTCTTGTATATAAACCTCTCCATTGTATACATATGTGTGTCCATGGATTTGTTTCTCTAGTCTACCCAGACTAACGCATAAAAGAACTGAAAAAAAAAACATGGGTTGGGTCAGGTCCACCTTAATCCTCAAAGTAACATCTTTACTTTTTAGTACCTTAAAGAAGTGTTTTGCAGGAAAGTTAGCAGTTCGAATCTACCATCCACTCCATAGGAGAAAGAGGAGGCTTTCAGCTACTGTAAACATGTAGAGCCTTGGGAACTCAAAGGGATAATTCTACTCTGCCCTACAGGGCTGTTAGGAATTGGAATTGACGTGATGACCGTGAATTTGGTTTTGCAGCAAATTTGCCCAATACATTATGTAGCACTACTTTTCCATGGTCATCGATTATTGGTCTAAGCAAAGTAAAATCCTTGACAATTTCAGTCTTTTCTCCATTTTGTATGACATCCCTTGGTCAAGTTGTGAAGATATTTGTTTTCTTTATATTGATATGTAGTTTAGATTGAAACCTTCCATCTTCATCAATACATGCTTCAAGTCTTCTTCACTGTGAGCAAACGATGCTCATGGCAGGGGGCATGACACAGTGAAATAAATGAGTTTGTCTTTGGGAAAAAGCATGGAGCCACATGACCTGTGCATTTCTAAGTGAAATAAGTCGGTCTGAAAGAATCCTACATTTTCATCTGATTCCAACACACTGTCTGGAAAAGGCACAGCTACAGAGGCAGTGAAAAGATCGGCGGTTCTTGAGGGCTCACGGGATGGAGGAGAGGGAGGAGTCAGTGGGCCTCAGGGCATTTTAAGGGCAGTAAAACTAATCTGCATGACACTGTAAGGGCGGACACATGACATTATGCATTTGTCCAAAGTTAGAAAGCTGGACAACACCAGGAGTGAATCCTAAAATAAACTATGGCACCTTAATGAACCAGGATGTATTCATATTAGCCTATCATCTGTCACAAATGTACCCACCCCACCAAGGTTGTTAAATGATCAGGGAAACTGTGTGTGCTTTCAGTTAAGTTTTTCTGCAAACCTAAAACTTCTTGAAAAAAAAAAAGTTCTGAAAACTCAAACAACAATCAAAGTTTCGGCACCGTCTCTAGAGCTGTGTTTTACACACCGACAGGTTCTAGGGAGGCTCTCACTATGTGTTGAAGACAGTGTTAGCATAGAAGCTTTCAATGTATGCTTGGGGGTCTAGAATCACCCTCTCATGATAAAGGAGCACCCAACCCCATCACCGACTTGGCTTGGAACACCCAAGCCACCCTCAGGCCTCATAACCAGTAGGATCTTCGGGTCATGCTGACCTTGAGGCCTGAGTTCTTGCGCATCCGTAGGCGGCCCATCCACATGTCCGTGAGCAGCATCTGGCTGCACGTGTGAGCGATGAAGTCACGGTGCTTGGCAGCCACGGCGAGCTGCAGGCACGTGGCGTTGCTCCAGTTCTTCAGTTCATACGTCAGCAGCTTCATGGCCAGCTGCTCGTCCTGCTTGTAGGACTGGTCCAGGAGCTCCACGGCCAGCTGGCCAAAGTCCCTGAAAGAGAGAACATTTGGGGGCATCTTTCAGGTCAGCTTGGAGACCCGATGACCAGAAGGGGGACCCAGTTCGTGGGTCAGGTCACAAAAGGGGGGTGCTGGGTGGTGTGTGATATAGTACTTCCTTAGGAGCGATACTCTGTATGTTTCGTATTTACCAGGGACCAGATCAAGAAATGCTGGTCACACAAGGGTGCAGAGCTTAGTTAACGGGAAGGTTGGTGATCTGAGCTCACCACATACTGCATGAAAGATAAAAAGCTCATCAATCTGCTTCCACCAAAACTGCAGCCCAGGGAACCCTACGGAGGCCGTTCTTCTAGGGTCACTATGAGCTACAGTTGGACCAGATCCATTACCTGTTTGTCAGTCCCTCGTGCGGTGTGTTAGTATGCTGTTGGCAGCTAGGCTACTGGCATTTCACACACTGGTCGGGTCACCAGTGGTGGCCAAGCTCCAGAAAATGTCCAGACTAAGACTGTGAAGAAAGCTCTGTGAGCCACGTTGGGGATCAATGAAAAGCCCGTGGGTCACAATAGAGCGCTGTCTGCTCTAGTGTTGGGAGATGAGCTTCTTCGGTTGAAAGGCACTACCGACTCGCCAGGACCATGGAGGCAACATCCTCATGACCGTGGAGACAGGGCAGGACAAGCGAATGTCTAATGTTGCCATTGACAATGTCTCCATGAGCCAGAGCAGCCTCAAAGGCAGGCATCTCCTTTGCTTGCAGGTGTAAGTTAAACAGACCATGAGCCCTGCATTGAAGGCCTTGAATTCAAAGCATGGGGTGGGGAGAGGAGAGCCACCAGTAAGCCGATGGATGACTCACATGCAGCTGTCTTCTGAAAAGAGACAGCCTGTTTCAACTATCACCCTTGACAATCACAAACGTGTGATCTTGGAGTAGGGTGCTTGCATTCTCTGAGCCTCCTTTTTTGAATCTACTTGATGGAGGTCACTGAGATGAAATGAGATCATCAGGTTGCTATGAGTCAGAATTAACATGGGGACAGTGGGTTGTATATGTGTGTACCTTCTTATATCGTACTGTGCCCAGTACATGCTAAAGATTCATGTCTACCCTCTGTGTGGAGGTCTTACATAGTGCATATCATTAAGCACTTGGCTATTAACCAAGATGGTTGAAACTTTGAGCCCACACAGCATTGGCTTGTAAGAAAGGTCTTGCAATCAGATCCTCAAAGGTCAGAGCCAAGAAAGTTCAAGGAGCAGAGGCTACTCTGTGAACCTTGGCAAACTGATGGCCATTGGAATCTGGAACCATCCATGGGTACCACTGGAGTAACACTGCTTCCCTTGAAAACTTTAAGCAGCTCAGACCCTCCAGCGCTGGCGACCCTTTTCTCATCACTTCCCCTGACTGCCCAATCCACTTGCGAGATGACCCACCTGGAGTTGTGGTTCAGCTCCTGGGAGATGTCGTCGACCATGTCGTTCTCTGAGGCCTCGTGCGCCATGGCTTTGCAAAGTTTACAGGCCACCAGGGCCTTGGCCATGGCCTCCTCGCCATGCTGCCAGAAGAACAAGGCCATCTTCTGCCGTTTCATCAGGACAGCCCACACCATCAGCTCGTGGAAGGGGAAGGGGAAGTGGTTGATCTCAGGGTCGTCCAAGTCAATATCTACCTCTTCTTCTCGCTTCTTGGTTGTCTTTCTTCCTCGCCTCAAGGGAACATCGTCCTGTCATTTTCGGAACACAGACAGAGGCTGACTTACAAATCAGTTCAATTAAGCTGGGACTTATATTGAGTCCTGGTGGCATAGCGCTTATACGTTGGGCTGCAAGGTTGGCAGTTCTAAGCCACAAGCAGCTGCTCTGAAGATGGGTGAGGTTTTCTTCTCCCATAAACAGTTACAATTTACACACACAGGCAACACAGCAGCGGGAAGTTCTACCCTTTCCTCTAGGGCTACCATGCGTCAGAATTGACTCAAGGGCAGTGACTTTGGTTCGGGGTTTATATTATATATTACTTCTGACCCAGCTTGGAGGTTGATTCAAAAATGAATTGGGGCAGCTCCTATCTTCAAAGAACTTACAAGTACATACATGGCTAACTTTAAAACAAGTTATAACAAATACATAAGCACAGTCCTATGGGGATATGCTGTTATATGTGGGAGGATTTCATTATCTTTTAATTCTACTTTTACATGAACCTTTTCAAACCCCTGTGTACTCTAATTAAGAAGAATTTTCCTTATGGGTCATTTTTTGCAACCCCCCAAAACCCCCCTTCCAACCGGAAGGTTATTTGTATCTCATATGGGCAGCTCTACACTTTTCATGGAAAGGACAAGGGCATCCTATACTTTCATTTGCATGTATGCCAATAACCATGTGAGCAACAGATGAGAAGCAGATATAACCTGTCTCGTTTCTGCCTACCAACGAGGAGCATTTGTGAAGTGGTGCTGCTGTTTGGATCTGTTGTCAATTGCAAACACCCATGAATAGATTCCCCTTAATGGAATTTATATACTTCCTTGATTTTCAAGTGAGTATTTAAGACAGGATTCATTTCCTGTTTGCAATGCTAACATAACCTCGTGGAGGAATTTTCAAAGTTACTGAGAAACTTGAATTATTTTCTCTGCCTTATTTTAGAAGCATGTACTGAGTCCTAACCCAAAAAAGACCCGGAATATTTTTTGGATGTGTATAAAGGGAATAAATAATTGACACTAATAACGTGAGCAAACACTTACTTCCATTCCCAGCAGTTTCAAGGCTTTGGGCTGTTTAAAAAGAAAAAGATATCATGAACTTAGACTCTCTACATATATATGTTAAAAAATAATCCTCCCGTATCCTAAAGAGGCAATCAGGACTCTACTGTACCCTGCCAAGCATTCATCTGACAGTTTGTACTGTGGTGGCTTTTGTGTTGCTGTGATGTTGGAAGATAGTCCATCAGTAGTGCAAATACTCCATTTTCAGGGGAGCTTATCGACTAAGGCAGACTCAGAAAGAAGGACCTTCAAGGAAAACAGGCCAGTGAAAAACCTATGCAAGCTAGAGGCACATGGTTGGATAACGTGCTGAAAGATGCGCCCCTTAGGTTGGAAAGCACTCAAAATATGATTGGGGAAGAGTCATCCTCGAAGTAGAGTTAACCTTAATGACGCGCATGGAGTAAAGCTTTGGGGACTTTCCTTTGCCGATGTGGCACAACTCAAACTGAGAAGAGACAGCTGAAAACACCCATTAATAATCACAACATGCAATTTATGAAGCATGAGTCTAGGAAACTTGTTACTTTAAAAAAATGAAACAAAACACAGGAAGAAAATAATCTAGGCACGTCAATAACCCTCCCCCCACCCCACCCCAAAAAAACTTACCAGAAAAGCTTAGGGATAGCTGATAGCAACAGTGACTGTATAACCCCACTTGAGGGGAACAAACATCAGAAGTTCAGGTGAATGGATTCATTGGGTGTTGTAAGTTATGGCAAAACCAGCAACAATAGCCATAATAATATATGATTTATTAAGGGTTCGGGCGGTGGTGGGGTAGGGGAGAGAGGGGATAATGGGGAGCTGATATCAAGGAGTTCAAGAAAAAAGAAAATGGATTGTAAACGATGATAGCCACAATTGTACAACTCTGCCTAATCTAATGAAACTATGGATTTTAATAATATGTGTCTGAGCTCTCAATAAAATGTTAAGAAAAACAAACACAAACACCAAAAACCAGCCACTCTGCCACCAGGGCTTCAGAGTGAGCTGAACTAGACTGGTAGTGCCATTTTGAATGGTACAATTGACTGGTCTACTGTGCTGGAAATGCGAAGTTGAAGGGAAATAGCATCACTTTATTGTCAAAAAGAACATTTTAAGATCTGTCTTGAAGTCCAATACCATTAGAATTTAGGATAATTTCCATATGCTTACAAGGAAGACCAATTAATGACGATTATTCAAATTCACATACAAACCACTAAAGCCAATGATGAAGAAATAGAAAATTTTTACCATTTTTATGGCCTGAAATTGATCAAACATGCAATCAAAATGCACTGATAACTGCATGTGATTAGAATGTGAAAGTTGGAAATAAGAAAGATCACTAATTAGAATATATAGGTCTGCATGATAGAAATGTCTAGGAGATTGTATGACAGAATTTTGCAAACCAATGCCTTTTTCATTGCAAAAATCTTTTTTCAATAACTAAAAGACAACTATACATCTGGACCTCACTGGGTAGAATACATAGGGACATAATTGACTAGCTCTGCTGAAGAAATAATGAAAAAGTCCAATATTATCCATCAGAAAAAGACCAGGGGTTGCCTCTAGAACAAATAATCCATTGCTCATATGCAAGTTCAAGTTGAAGCTCAAGACAATGAAAACAATTCCTCAAGAGACAAAGTACAACCTTGAATGCATCCAACCTGAATTTAGAGATCATCTGGTCGAGATTTGATACACTGAATATTAACGAGGGAAGATCAGATGAGTCGTGAGATGATCAAGGACATCATAGGTGAAGAATGGGTCACTGAAACCACAAGATACCTTTTAAGAAGACCGAAATGGAGGCCAGCACAGACTCTGAAACTTGATGTTGAACACAGAGTAGCTAAAGCAAATGGAGGAAATGACGAAGCGCTGAGTAGATTTCATGCATTGGCTAGAGAAGACAAAGTAATGTGCTATAATGAAATGGGCAAAGACCTCGAGGTAGGGAAAGAGGAAGAACATGCTCAGTATTTCTCAAATTGAAAGACCTGTAGACAAATTTCAACCTCGAAGTGATATTTCGAAGGATTATACGATCCCATAGGCAAGACGAATGGTATCCCACTCA